AGGCGAATACACCACATGGTGATCATCGATCGTGAGATAGCCGTTGTGCCAAAGTGTGGTTCACTAGTGGATCGGGCCACGCTGAACCGGAATACACAGACTGGATGATATCATCTTGATGTTTACTCACTCTTTCTATGAGACCGCCATGGTGTGTAGACAGGACTCGCAGATCAGGTACTGGGTACATAGAAGCAAATACCAAAGAGCGCGTTCACACCGCACTTCATGAGAATTGAGACGACTTGATCGAGTTCTGAAAACAGTGTGTGGACGTTCGCGGCGAATTGTATCGTATACATGTGTAAAGGGCACACTTGTGGCATGTAGCAAATTGAAAAGTGAACGCTGCGCAGGGTGCCGGGTCTTCGCATTGTCTAAAGGGAGACTTACAGTGACTCCTTCTAAGAGAGCGCACATGTAAGGGTACACCTCACCAGGTTGGCTGATAGAGATCGGTCCGAATCTCCCTTGGAGGCTTGGAGGCTTTTACGCTAGGTGCTGTCAATTGTCATGTGTCGGACACTATCTGGGCCGACAATACTTCTAGATGTGCATGGAGTATGGCCCCTCAGCGGCTTAACAGCATGGCGGCCGCGTTGACAGCTAGGGGACCTCTTTTGAGATGGCTTCGACGGATGCGTACCGGGTATTGTTGCCGACACGACACAGGGTTTGACGTCAGATCCAACAGGAGTTGAGTGTGAGCATAGGCTAGGTTGCAAAGCATTTGAATCGATTAGCCCCCTCTTGCACGCCGCATTGGCATCGGAGCGGCACGTCCACGTGGAGTGTTACATCGGCATGATGCCCATAAACCGACTCAGAAATCTCAGGTTGTCTACAGTTGGTGGAATTGGGTATGCCCAGCTCGTAGGCGCACAGCTGTTTACAGATTTGTCACTGCGGGATGCCTTAGTCTGCGCCTCGTATAGGATAGGATCTTTGGTGGCTGCCTGGGTGGAGTCTTCCCAGGCTGACTGCGGTGAACATGTAATAAGCGGTGTGCGCTCTGGGATGATGCTCTATTGCCTTGCGTGCTTTTGTCACCAAGATGCGGAGAAGAGACTATGACGGTAGAAGCTCTTGAGGCAAATTGCGCATCCGGCCGGGGATCCACCCTCCTTACAAAGGACCGCGCGGTCCGTGTAGCATGCAACTGGCCCTGGACTGTCTTTGCCGTGTGAGGTAGTTCTTTCATAAGGATTGCTCTACCAGACGAGAGTACACGATCATCATCAACACCAGCGGTTGAGGCGCTTTAGACACCGGACATGGGCATGTTCGCGGACCGAGCTTCAGAGAACATGCAGGTGCATGCGAGATCGTTAAAGTTGCGTTTCGAGAAAGTGAGACCGGAGGAACTAACAGCCGTTAGCGTCGAATTCGCGTCAGGAATTTGGAATAAACACCACCAGACTGTCGGTAAGTCAACACGGAATGTCGCGTATGCGCCGTATGAGATTGGCGATTCCCGAGGCTCCGGGATTTGTCAAGCAACACACGATTTTCGTCCTCGTGGCATCTAGCAGTCCCTTATGTGAAGCAGGCACATCCATGTCGCTCGGTTGCGATTGGTCAGATCTCCAAGGATTTCGTATCGCGATTGGATAAAGGTTGTTTCGCGACGATCTCCCGTGCGACTCTGCGCGTCTGCACTCTGATTACTGTGTCATTGACGACAACAAGGTTGCCATTCTTATCACATTGTCGTGATTTGGAAATTTGGTCCATCATCCTGCAAGCCCTAGTTGTAATCGTGCCGGAGCACGTTTCGGAGTTCAGCATGGTATTCGACTTTTGGGATTTGTTATCGTTCGCATCTTGCTTGACAAATTATCCCCAGGCCTTATATGGGTCGCGAGTGTCCACGTTTCCAGCAGACCAAAATGTCTTCTCCCGCTACAAGCTCAACTGGCTCTCAGTCTTCATCCACTTCTTCTCCAAGGATCATGGCTTCTGCCACCCACCATGCGTCGTCGCATCCTTTCCTATCACCTGCACACGCCTCCGACATATCATCATGGACAACTTCATTACCCAGACCCCAGTTGTGTCCGTCGACAGAGTCTCATTCCGGTCTTCAGTCCCAGGAACAAGCTATCGAGGCCTACCGACAAATGAAAGCTGCACTATTCTCGAGAGCCATGAGCCCTAGCATAACCAAGCCCGCATGAGCATCTTGCGGAGGCGCGGTTCTCCGCCGCATACCATATGCCAACCCACACATACTACTGAGACGACTTACATTTAACGACCAATGGCGTCATACGCCGCCTTATACGGCAGATACCTGGAGGCTGGAACCTCGACGATACCCTAATGGCACGGAGCGTTGCTAGTGCAAACGACGGAGATACTGGTGGTCTGAGAGCCGACATATGGTGACGACGCCATATGATTAGTCCAGATTCATTCTTGGTGGACATTGCAGTCCGGAACGTCCTCATGGTTCGAGACGTAGGGCGACGCTAGAATATCACTACTGTTAATTCACGGCTCTACAAGAGTTCTCGAACATTTTGTTCTACGTCATTGCATGTTTTGCGAGTCTGGCCCATCTTGAAATCCGTCTCTTGTACACCGGTGAACTTCCTGGCAACCGCTGCATGCAGCCCTGGAGGTGTGGTCGTGCCCTGCTTTGTGGGAGGCGAAGTATTGTGTAGCCAATCTCAGACCTTCTGAGATACTGTTCATACTGCCCGAAGCTAACCCTGATGCTGAGACAAGATCGAAATCGCGCGAAAAGAGGCTTTGTGGAAGCTCGGTTGCGACATTGCTCAGGATACGTGAAATGGCAGAGCTACATCATCAGCTTGGCACTTGGACATGGCCTTATCGATAGCTTGACGGGTCCGTGCGTCAAAAGTTCGCCGAACGCGACTCTGCGCGTTCGCAAACGAAGACAGCAACATTACAACCCAGCCAACCCTTCGCGGCGATACCGATACTGCAGCCAATCACAACATGTCTGGAAACACGCCCAAAACCATGTCCAAGGGACTGATGGGGATGAAGGTACGCAGATCACTACTGGATTACCCTGGGAATACGCTGAACGTGAGTAGTTTATGCAGCGCGCGGCCGCAAAGTCTTCGCCCTCGACGCCCAATGGCCCGCCTAGCAAGAAAGCACGCCTTTCAAATGGTGCATCCGCTGTAGGAACCTCGGATCACGACATCATACAATCAGGACTAGATGCGGAAGAAGCGAAGCGCCAGGCGGCCCTTGACAAAGCTGCGCAACATGCGGGTGAGACAAAGTGGGTGTTGAGTTTCAAGGACCCTCTCGAAGGAAAGAGACAAGATGCAATGAAGGTTAGGCAAGCGGGATTCGCTGAGCTCGACGCAGAGGACGAGGACGAGGACGATGAGGAAGATGTTAAGCCTATAAGAATGCAGTTCGGCGGTGGTGTCAAGAAGAAGGCAGATGTGTGTACAATTTGCACTTGCGATAGAATCAAACTGACGAAATGCAGACAACGGTGCCTTTTGTCAAGGCCGAGAACTCGGAATCAGAATCCGAGCATTCTTCAGACGAGTATGATTCGGACGATCCTGCCGCAGATCTGATCCGACAGACCAAGCGCGAAATGGCCACGGAAAAGCGCGAATCCAAGAACAAGCGGGGCGACGATTCCGTCAAGGCAACACCGAAGCGACAGAAGGACGATGGCGACCTACAGGGCCTGACATCGATATCAGGCAGTCGACGGTCCGGAGGCGGGGGCGGCTTCGGTGGCATGGCCAACATGGAATGCTATAAATGTGGGCAAAAGGGACATATTTCAGCCAACTGCTCATCTACACCACGAGGATCTGCAGGCAGAGGCAAAGATAAGGGCCGGAGGTAGCCGCGGCGACGTCTTCTCGATGTATTTGTACACTTGGTCCGGTTCAGTGATACCCCATGAAGACTCCGTCTTCAGTTGCACTTTGGTCATCCGACCTTGTCCCCGTCTTGGATGAGCATGTACTCGTCTCCGACCATCATCTTCATTTGACTGTCGTCCATGAAGTTGGCGTGATCGCCATTCAAGGCAGCGCCGTCTTTGTCGTACATGAACTTGGCCAGCGCCAGATAGTCGGGGAAGACGAAGGTGCAGATGGCATCGTAGTCCATGAGCTTGGCTTTGCCGTGCATAATGTCTTGTATGGCTTTTCGATCCCGCTCCAGATGGTATGTCTGTGGCGGTCTCAGCTTGGGTGCTATGTAGTGGACTGCGCTCGGGCTGTACAAGGCTGTAGCTGAGGATGCCATGGCGCTGCAGGATGGGAACTGCGCGCTGTGCGTGGTTGTTGTTATAGTACTCGATAAAGTCGGCATCCGACATGCCATCTTTCTTCTTGATGTATATAGTCGCCTTGACAACCTTTCTGAAGCCAGTCGTGTTCGCGTAACCTGCTTGAAATGCCTTGGGTACCATGTTGTCACGTAGACGAAGATCAACGGTGACGGGCACGGGCAGTAGCCAGCCCTAGTGTCTTGTCGACAATGCAGGGCCCACCGTATCTGACGTTGGTCGTTACCACAACGCCGGACGCTGCTGCATTCATTGTTTGGTGAGTAGAGCCGCACTCAGCGCCTGCCACTTCCCCGCCACAATATACGCTGTCCCTCACCGCCTCTTGTCTGCCACAGCTGCAGGCAATTGATTAGTCTCGGACCACAGTGAATCACCAGCGGACCCGCCTGTCCGACCATTGTCCGCTCCACCGCACGTCTTGTGGATGCTCCCATCGCTAGGCGCACGACAGTCTCTGGGAAACCTGTCGCTGGTACCACGACACCGAACACTCGTTCCCAGGCTACCGGTTGCCTGGTCGATCGCACAGTACACAACATCGTCATCACACTGCTCAGCCTCGACTCGGCTCGCCACCAGTCACCTCGGATCACGCGCCATACATAACCCGCTTCGCTGCCAGGCCGCCGTCGTCCCGCTACCAGCTACGCATCGCGCCCTTGCGACTTCGCTGAGAAGAAAGCAGTCAGCCGCCATGGCGGAAGAGCTAGGACGAGAGGCCGGGGGGAGGTCGCGCATAGAAGACCTGGAAAGGCCACAACTCGACGATCGCTCCTACCGAATCATCACTCTACCAAATCAACTAGAGGTCCTATTGATACACGAGGCGGGGACGGACAAGGCTAGTGCGGCGCTGGATGTCAATGTGGGCAGCTTCAGCGATGCGCCGGATATGCCGGGTATCGCGCACGCGGTGGAACATCTGCTGTTCATGGGGACTGAGAAGTACCCAGAGGAGAACGCCTACAACCAATATCTGACACGCCACGGCGGGTATTCGAATGCCTTCACAGCCTCTACCTCAACCAACTACTACTTTGAGCTTTCATACCCTTCCTCCACACCTGCGAGCAGCCAAACCGCATCGCCAGACGTGTCACAAACTAATCTGTCAGAGTCCAAGGACGAGTCGCCGCTATGGGGAGGGCTGGACCGCTTCGGCCAGTTCTTCATCAGTCCTCTGTTCTTGGAAGACACGGTCGATCGCGAGCTCAAGGCTGTGGACTCAGAGAATAAGAAGAACCTCCAAAATGATACCTGGCGGATGCATCAGCTTAACAAGGCATTGGCCAATCCAGATCATCCCTACAACCATTTCTCGACCGGAAGCTACAAGACCCTCCATGACGAGCCCATAGCACGAGGCGTGAAGATTCGAGACGAGTTTATCAAGTTTCACTCAACGCACTATTCTGCAAACCGGATGAAGTTAGTCGTCCTAGGCCGAGAGAGCCTTGACACACTGGAAACATGGGTGGAGGAGATCTTCGCTAAAGTCCCGAACAAGAACCTTGGACAAAATCGATGGGATATGCCCGTTTACACTGGGAATGAACTGTTGACACAGACGTTTGCCAGACCGGTCTTGGAATCACGGTCGTTAGAGCTTACATTCGCCTATCGCGATGAAGAGAAGTTTTACGAGTCACATCCTTCAAGATACCTTAGTCACTTGCTCGGTCACGAAGGTCCCGGTAGCATCCTTGCACACATCAAAGCAAAGGGCTGGGCGAACGGACTTGGTGCTGGAGGCTCTACCCTATGCCCTGGCTCAGGGCTGTTCACTGTCAATATCAAATTGACCGAGGAGGGGCTCAAGAATTACAAAGAGGTTGCCAAGCTTGTCTTCCAATACATCGGATTGATGCGCGATCAGCCACCTCTCGAATGGGTAGTCGAGGAGCAAATGCGGATCAGTGAAGTGGAGTTCCGATTTAAGCAAAAGAGCCCACCTAGCCGCACTGCCAGTGGTCTCGCCGGTATCATGCAGAGGCCTTACGACCGCAAGATGCTTCTAAGCGGTCCAGCCATCATCAAGAAGTTCGATGCCCAGCTGATCAGTGAGGCTATGTCCTACCTTCGACCAGACAACTTCAGGATGACGATCATTAGTCAAGATTTCCCAGGTGGATGGGATCAAAAGGAAAAGTGGTATGGAACAGAGCACAAGGTCGAAAATATGCCAGAAGACTTCCTTGCCGAGATCAGACAAGCATTCGAGAGCAAGAGCCGGCCGGCAGAGCTACACTTCCCGCACAAGAATGAGTTCATCCCGACCCGGCTCGAAGTAGAGAAGAAAGAGGTTGAACAGCCGACCAAGGAGCCGAAGCTCATCCGCCACGACGACAACGTGCGCATCTGGTGGAAGAAGGATGATCAGTTCTGGGTACCCAAGGCTAACGTTCATATCTACTTCCGAACACCCATCACCAGCATCACAGCTCGTATCACGTTATTGTGCACGCTCTATCGTGAGCTTGTAAATGACGCTCTAGTGGAGTATTCCTACGACGCCGACCTATCCGGTTTGGTCTACGACTTCACCAACCACATCAGTGGCCTTTCGATTACCGTCAGCGGCTACAACGACAAGTTGCACGTATTGCTGGAGAAGGTCTTACTGCAAGTACGGGATCTTGAAGTATCAGAAGATCGTTTCAGGATCATTCACGACCGTATGCTTCGTTCTCTACGCAACTGGGAGTACGGGCAGCCTTTCCATCAGGTTGGGACATACTCTCGGCAATTCAAGAGTGAGAAGAGCGTAATGAACGACGAACTTCTTCCAGAGCTTGAGAACGTGACGGCTCAGGACGTACAGCAGTTCTTCCCGCAAATCCTGGCGCAATGTCAAATCGAGGTTTTGGCACATGGCAACCTATACAAGGAGGAAGCTCTGAAGATTACTGATCTAGTAGAACGCACTATAAAGCCAAGGAGACTGCCATCGAATCAGTTACCTACACGCCGGGGACTCATCTGGCCATCCGGCAGTAACTTCATCTACGAGAAACAACTAAAAGATCCCCAAAACGTCAATCACTGCATCGAATATAGCTTATATGCCGGTCACCGTTACGACAGCGTCACGCGCGCCAAGCTCCTGCTTCTTGGGCAGATGACGGACGAGCCGTGTTTCAATCAACTTCGTACCATTGAGCAGCTTGGCTATGTCGTGTTCTCTGGCCCTAGCTTCCACGACATTTGGTCAGGATATCGCATTCTCATCCAGAGTGAGAAAGATTGTCGGTACCTTGAAGGTCGCATCGAGAACTTCCTCAACACGTTCGAGCAGACACTAAACGACATGAATGAGGAAGACTTTGAGAGTCACAAGCGTGCGATGATTAACAAGAGGCTCGCGAAACTGAAGAATCTATCGTCGGAGGACAATAGGTTCTGGAATCACATTTACAGTGATTCGTATGATTTCCTGCAAGGTATGCTGTCACCTAGACCCGTGCACTAGTACATTTCTAACGAGTATACAGCCGATGTTGATGCTGCGACTATCGAGAAGCTTACCAAGAAGGACATGGTAGACTTCTACAGTCACTACATCTCGACTTCATCCTCTCAACGATCCAAACTCTCAGTACATCTACAAGCGCAAGCCAAGGCCAAGGAGCCCTCGCTCGAGGAGAAGAAGACTGCCGCCGCCGCTGCGCTCAAAATCATTCTCGCCGAACACAAGATCACAACCAATAACGAAGCTTTCGAGGGGCGCATCAAGGACGCATCGTCCAATGCGGCTATCTCAGATGCAGTTGCCAGCCACCTCACTGACAATCTCAAGATCGAGAAGGAAGTCGCTAACAAGATCCTCGACGAAGCAAAGGCTGCATTAGGTGTAGCAGATTCAGGTCTGCCGGCCGCGCCTCAGGCCCTAGATACGAGTGCAGATGTCAAGAGCGTAGTGGATGCTTCACAGCCTGTTCTTATCGAGGATGTGCATGCTTGGAAGGCGAGTATGCAAGTCAGCACCGGTGTTCGACCGGTGCGAAACTTGGAAGACTTCGTCGAGGTTGCTGAGAAGCTGTGAGTGAAACTATCGCGCTGAGCTTTCTGTTCAGCAATATATCGAAGAAGAACATGGAGATGCGTTATGAGGATGTAGAAAAAAAGGAAGGGGTGCAGCTTCGTTCCCATCTTAGCGTAGTTTCCCTCGATCTATAAATCAATCATACGTATTGCACGTGTCTGATCTATGATCTCTGAGCAGCCATCTGAACCTCGTCCCATTGTCTCATTAGGTCAAGTTCCCATCGCAAAGGTCTCCGCCTCGTCACTCTTCACGAAGCCGACAGGCGAACCGAAACACCACGCACGTGGGAATCCGATACCCCATTTGGCCATCAAGCTCCGCAAATCTTCTTCTGTGCCTGGAATTACATTGATGAATATACGATCAGTATCGTGGCGGGGTTCCGAATGCACTGCCCCTTCTTCTCCGCCTATCCTAAAAAACGCCACTTCTCTAGAAGCCGGTGTCTCACGCTCCACATCTTGTAGAGAATGTACGAGTGACTGTCGTACGGAGTCACTATACGTGGAACAGCCTACGCAACATATCGATGTACAGGTATGGTCACCCAACTTCTCTTTCTCGATCTTCTTAGTCTCTCTGAGCACCCTCAGCGCCATGTCATTACGTTTTGTGAAGAGAGTGCTTGGTCCGAGGAGTGTGGTACAGAGCTTCCATAGCCTTTGCGTACTAGACTGAGCAAGACCAAAGCCAGTGGCTTCAGCATCGTAGGCGAAAACATTCTCATCTGTGTGCCAGCGTGGTGTATCGTATTCGTGGGTTGTCGTGGTGCAGCGGATGGTCAGCCAGTAATTGTGGATGTTCGCTGCTGACAAGAAAGTCTGTAGCCATGAGAGGAGAGGGAGGAGCCGGTGTATCAAAGTCGCGGGAGAAGACAGTGTAAGAGTTGCCCAGGTGTGGAATGACGGTGGGAGGGACGTGGTGCTTGCGTGGAGGAGAGGACCACAATATGTCCATGAAGAAGGGCTGAGTACTTTTAGCCGTGATGGAGATGTACTGTCAGCTTTGGGGTCTTCTGGCGAGGCATCGTTTGGTGTGGTCGTAGGTGGGTATGAAATGAAAGCGTGAGAGCCGTATTGCGGTAGCGGATCGATGGCTGGCGTTGAAGCATTGTTTATCGTCTTGAATGAGGGCTGCACATTTTCAATTGAGCTGGGTTCATCTTCGTAGAATAGTAACATGTTGAGCGAGTTTGCTCTCAGTACGATTGAGAGAGTTCTGCAGATGCTTCTGCAGCGGTTCGTAACTAAAAATAGTTTGACTTCTGGAACTACGTGTTTTACGCGCTTTGGTCACACAGGGCGTCTGATTAGTGGTTGATGTTTAGGGCGTGGTGGCACAGGGGGCGCGGCCTCCATCCTTTGACGGACATGCATGGATGTATATGCCACCCATTATTCAAAGAGACCTCGGAATGTCGCCAGACCGGATTGCGCGAATAACACTACCAGGTCTACTCGTCAATGCGGGAGTTGACAAGGTGCTGCTACATAGGTGATCGGTACCTAGGTAGACGCGACCAACGTGGATCGGCCCGTCAGGGTTCCGATGACTTCGTCATACGACGAAGGCGCAGTGGCAGCTCTCCGCATGGAATCACAACACCGCGCAAGGCATAAGGAGCCACTCGGGCCGGAAGGTTGAGACAAGGAGGAGGGATTGACACAGCCAGAATGCTACGACGAGCCATCCTGCGGGCGGCTGCGCGCCCACCACAACTTCTTCGCAGCCCACACACGCGCCGCTATGCGACAGAGCCGCCAGCCTCTCCAGCGTCCTCCCAGTCGCGCATCGAGCGCTTCAATCGCCGCCTGCCAAAGTTTCTGCACAAGTACACCAATGCGCTCGGCAATGCCCCGGTCACGCACATAACGTCGTTCCTTCTCCTCCACGAGCTCACGGCCGTCATCCCTCTGTTCGGTCTCGCTGGCTACTTCCACTACACACACTGGCTGCCTCCGTGGTTCGCAGAAGGGGCTTGGATAGCGTCAGGCGTCGAGCGCTTCGGTCGGTACTTCAAGCGCAAGGGCTGGATACGCAGCGATGAAGCGCTGGAAGCCGAACGTGAGGTCGACGAGATCCAGAAGGATGACAAACAGAGGCAGCGGATGAAGAGCCAGGGTTTGTTGCCACATTCCGATGACGACGGCATCGGCAGCGAGACTAAGAGGTTGAGGAAGGTGGATCAGGCATGGAACATCAGCGAAGGCGGTGTCAGGCTGGTCGTCGAGTCTGCGACGGCTTACGCGATTGTCAAGATGTTGTTGATTCCGAGAATCGTGTTCAGCGTATGGGCTACTCCCACCTTTGCGCGATGGACCGTCGCCCCGGTCTTGAAGAAGTTCCGCGCCATGTTTGGGAAGAAGGGGAACGGCGCGCCTGGAGCGGGGACTGGTGCTATCGAAGGGGGTGCTGTACCGAAGAGTGGAAGTGGAAAGACTTGATCATCCAAGTGGGCTCTAGTTGCAGACAGGCCCTTGGTAGGTACTCTAGGTCTGTACTGTACATACCATTCTATCGCTGAATGCAGATACATGGTAAGCATTTCTCGATGGGCTACTTCCCAAGTTACGCCTTACTATCGATATCGCGGTGAAGTCTGTATCTCCCTTATCTTCTCATTCGCGTCATAGGCCACCGTTTGCTTCGCTCATTGTCGGCTTTCTCGGCTGTTTCTTTCCCTCGTCTCCAGTCCCCATCCAGCCCAATTCCACGGCCAGCAAGATGTGCTTCAACGACGACGATTACAGCTACGAGTCCAGAGTTGAGGTCCGCAATGGCCAGCGCTACTACACAGAGGATTACTACCCCGGCTTTGGTATGTCTAGACGCCGCAGGTATGGCCTCGGCGGCTCGTACTACCCTTCGCGCTACTACAGCCATACCCCCAGAGGCCGCTACATGAGCAGAGCAGTCACATATCCGAATCGGTACTCCCAGTACGGCGGCGGATATCCAAGTGGTGTCGTTCCTGGAGGTTATTCCAGGGGCGTAATCCCAGGCGGCCACTCCCAGGCCATGGTTCCTCGAGGGTATATTGGAGGTGTCCATCCCGGCCATCCGCCTGCATATACATACGGTACCGGATATCCTGTCGGTGCTCGTAGTATTGTGCCGGTCAATCCCGCAATGGTAAGTTCTCGCTTGTCTTTCGTTGCCCCATCGCGTTTGTTTGCGACTTCCCTTTACTACACCGCTGCCTTGCCCCGCCATCATTGGCTCGCATGTTTTCTTGAACATCGCGTGGCTCTCGGCCTTTACTGCCGCGACACCATCTTTCCCTCGATCTTGTTGTATCTCCCTCCGACCTTCACCTTCCTCCTCCTCTCGCCCTGCTCCACTGTAACCGCGCAATTCCCACCGACCGCCATCGCGACCTGCCTCCTTCACAACTCTCCTAGTCATCGTCCGATCGGCCCTTATCCATCAACTCTTGCAATGGAAGCGTACCCAAAGCCCCGCCACCAATACATCTACAACCCTCGTTACGGCCAACGCGGTTTCCTCTCCTATGCCGGCCAAGCCGCGAATGGCGCCGCGCCCACTGGCGTCATAGGCGGCGGCTATGGCTACGGTGGGCTCGGAGGCGTTGGCGTCGGTATGGGTGTCGGATACGGGGTGGCCGCCTACCAACCTGCGGTATACACCCGTCCCTTGTACCCTCAAACCTACGCCACCAACTACTTTCCCCAGAACTACTATGCCTCCAATTATTCTTACCCTTCCTATGGCGGTGGCTATGGCTACTACAACTACAGCTTGTATGGCTCGCTGTACCCACTTGCTAACTTCTATTACCCCTACCAGAGGACCTACTACAACACCGTACCTAGTTACGGCTACTCGGCGCACGTCTATCCACCTGGCCCAAGTACAACTACCACAACATACCATGTGACGAACAGTCAACCACAAGGACCGCAAGGCTTCTCGGGCCCAAGGACGGTCAGAGAGACAAGGCCAGCATACGTTCACGGTCACACACAGCAAGGTCCCACGCGCGAAGACATCCAAATGGAAAACCGGAGGATCGCGACTGAGCGTGGCTCGTACGACCCGCGCAAGATCAGGCCAGCAGATGCACGCGACGACGATCCTTTCTGGAGTCGCGAGCTCAACGGCGAGTGGCATCTCAGGTCCTACTATCAGATTGAGAACGAGTGTCATCCTGGCCGATGGATGATGGATGCTGATGTCGGCTTCCTCGTCTTCCACCGCGCGTGATTGGAGCGTTCTTCCACAGTCAGCGACGCGCTCAGCAGAGACAAGAGGCGGTTGATGATACGGACAAGAAGGACTGGTCCACATCACGTTAGGCATCAACGGCAATGAGACAATGGGGTGACGGGATCTACGGTTTTCAGGATTTCGTTCATTTATAAAGTGGAGGATACTTCTGCCTAGGTATGAAAGCAGCATATCATGATATTGGCGTTGGGGTTATGAAGGACAGGCGTTATTAGGGGTGTTTCTTGGGAGAGTCAGAAAAGCAAGGGCGGAATTGCGACTGCACGATAGACCATAGTAACATAACATAGTACTCAAACATTCGGATTCCGCTCTCGTACTTCCCACTCCTATGGTATTGTTTCGTAATTATATCCTTGACGTTTCAAGTTCCTCATGCAAGACTCGCCGAGTCCAACACAGACTCAACGTCGCTCGCGAACAGCTCCATCTTAAGATCCTGCACTTCACATCTTCTCTCCCTGAATCGTGGCAACCACCTTCCTTGTGTGCTTCGAATCTCTGAATTCGAGGTACCATATGCCTTGCCATGTGCCCGTGTTCAGCTTTCCATTTGTGATCGGGATCGTGACGCTCGCGCCAATCAACGCAGACTTGACATGCGCGGGCATGTCATCGCTGCCTTCTGCATCATGGCGGTACAGTCCCTGACCCTTCTTGTCTTCCGGCACAATGCGATCCAGCGCTGTGCTCATGTCCGCGCGAACATCTTGATCCCAGTTCTCGTTCAATGACAGCGCGCACGATGTGTGTTGAATGAAGAGGTTCAGTAGGCCAGTCTTGTAGCTCTTGATCTCGGGTACTTCTTTGAGGATGTGGTCGGTGATGAGGTAGGACCCGCGCGACCGGCTGGGGAGGGTGAGGGATTTCTGTGCCCTAGGAACTGTTAACAACTAACAGACACTTTGTATAGGTACAAAACACAAGGACATACCAAGACATGATTGGTACGGAGGTGCAGACGTTTGGACTCTTGCACAGCACGCTTGCGCGCGGTTGGGGTGTTGGCACGAGGTAGTTTGCGAGGCTGTTGTAGGGCGCCCAGAATATACCGACAAAGAGTCCTGGGAATAGCGCGATTACGAAGATGAAGACGATCAAGAAGGTCGTTAGATGTGAGCTTGTAGAGTGTTGTTGCGGCATTGCGTTGAGCTAAAGTTCGGAGAGTTGAGTCGCGTTATGTGGGGTGGGGTGACGTCAGAGGAGTGTCGCGGTGGGGTTAGGTCGTCTTGAATGTAAAGAGCATGTCCGTTTTCAACGGTCACATTCAACATACGCACATACTCACATACGCCCTGGGTGTATGGTCCTTGACGCACTAAAGATGGGGTGCTACGCTGAGCCAATGCTGAACAACACGTGGTGAGGTCCTTCCGCCGGGCACAGCCTCGTTTTCTTCTCTTTCCGCTTTTAACCCAGCAGAAACGACTTTAAATGACCTTCAGGCCCTACAAGACGCGCTTCCTACGCGTTTTTCGTGAGACTTCAAAATTACTGAATCAGTAGTAGATATGTGTACTAGGATGAACGTGCAAAGCACCATTCTGACCGCAGGAGAGAGACTGCGAGTGCGATACCCTCACTTGGAGTGCCGAGATTCAATTGACGCAGAGGTTTGACGCATGGTGATGTCTCACATAGCCCTGAAGTTTGTGGAGCGACGTTTGTGGAGCGAGACTTTATTCTCAATTCAGATGGTGATCTCATAAACCATCTAGCTCAAATGAAGGCTTTTCTGCTCTTTGACATCGCCGCCAGAGTCGGTTGTCTTCCCGTATGCGCTGGCAGTGACTTAGGGATTGAAGTTTAGAGCATGTCAATATTCGTAGGCTTGTAAAGTACATCTTTCAGTACCATGAGGTAAAACATGAAGGCTATCTCACATCCATATAGAATGACCACTCGACGCTGACCGGTAAGAGATGGCTCAACTGGATTCGCAAAAGCCATGTATTCGGGGAATACACTTTGCTCTGGAATGATGATACCGAAGCGGAGCTCAATCCCAGAAGTTTTTCAAGTTCGATGCGCATACATTGCATCGTTCAGAAGACAGGCAAATACCGCGACCTCAATACAATAGAAGAAGGCAGTTTGTCAAAGTCTCAATTGCAATGCATATATACACCAGCCCTGATCTCTCTTATGACTGCCTCGCTCTATCGCTGTGCAAGCGGCTCATCCGTAACCTTCTGCGTTTCGTTGACTTCCGCCGCGTCGCCCTTGGGCCCCAGGGGGTATGATAGCTCGTGTTCAGGGGTGGCTTCGAGGAGCGGTCGGTGTTTCTCGTGTGCCTATGAGGTTTATTAGCGGTAGTCCCCTTCCCCAACTATGTCCAATATCGGAAGATTGGAGTAGACACAGTCCAAGATGAGACTTACGAATGGAAGTCCGCAGTATGTGCACCAGCAGATCTGGGGCTTGTCTACGTTGATGAAGATCCTTGGGTGTCCGAGAGGGCCACCGCCTCCGTCACAGGATACAGTACGGTCGTGCGTCCAGCGAACAGGCTGCTTGTGGATGAGCTCGATCGCGGCGTATGGGCGAGGCTGCACAATTATCTATCAGCACATGTCTCTTCTCTGCATAAACGACCCCCTTCATCTGTCGTTTTGGTCCCCTCTATGATCGCCGCCCCAAAGAATTCGCACATACCTGATCTTCCATAATGCTCTGCTCGAACCTGGGCCCACTCATCGCAACCTCCCTTGGGTTCTGACTCCGCGACCAAATGCCCTTGTAGTTCGGCGCCTGTTCAACCCTCAACTTCTCGGCTGTCTCTGGAGACTCCTGCAAGACCTTGTCGAACGAGCCCTCGGAAGATGTAGGCATCGCATTGGTCTCGGAAACGTTCGGCTTCGCATCGCGCTTAACGGGGTCGTTGGCGGGGACCTGGTTGCTGGTCGTCGCGGTAGAGGTGTAGCGGGCGAAAGAGCGGGAGGTAGCCGCTGCGCTACGAGAGCGCAGGGCGCGGAGGGCTGTTGGGAGCATATCTGGCGAGGTATTGGAGCAGACGGGCTGCGCAATTGCTTGGGAAAGATGCCGTTTGGATGGTGAAGTTGAGCTTCCGACAGTTCGCGCTAAATCACTTACATAAGCGATCGTTTTATTGGTTTGCTTCCCTTCACACTCAACCTTCAAGAAAGGTGATTCCAAGAACATTTCCAAGACATCGCACTAAACTCAGATCTCGAGACGAGTGGAATCATTGTAATGGACTGCTAACCTGGTCGGTGAAGACATGACCAACACACTATCATTCGACACTCAGGAAGAGATACAGTCATCCAGTAGAGATCGCATTGTCCTACGCCTGATATCAACGATTTCGACGCTTTCAGGTACGTAGTACGGCCGATCACATTGGAAGTCGCAACTCGAAGGCATAAAAGCCGCAAAGAGAAAGACGTATCACGCGGAACTTCGATGATCTGAGCCGAGAAGGCGACATGAAGTGGAGAGGCTGAAGGCTCAGGAGTGGCCGGGTACTGCTTCGCAAAGCGCGTCAGTGAGTTCAGCTGGAACCACCACCTGTACAACAGAATAAAGCATGTAGAAAGAACGCCTAGGGATGACGCCCACACACCGCAGGGCTGATATGGTAGCCGAGTCGGAGATCGGCTCTCCGCTAAGCCCGGACCCTTACCTACCCAACCTCGAACTCCAACATATCAAACACCAGATCTCATCACTCTGATCACAGAAGTTCACAATACTTTCCATCATGGTTGGGTCAATACCAAACGATATATTCCAGTTCTCCACTTTCGCAGCTCTCAACGCCGGTTTCAACGAAGGCCAACCCCGAACTGCAGACCTTACTTCCCACGGCACAGATGGCATTGGTGTTTACGAAGATGGCAGTCTAATGATCTTGAAAGACCGACAAGCGTACGCACTTACCAAGGATGGCAAAGCAAAACCAGCACCCATGAATGCACGCCTTCCTCTCGTATTGGTCACTATATACCAGCCAACATTTCGTCTGAAGATCGGGTCGATTTCTCTGGAAGCCCTCGATGAGCTCGTTTCATCCGATGATGTGGGTCCAGCGAAGGGCGTGAATACTCTTATGCCCTTTAAGATCGCTGGTCGTTTTGATTCGATAGAATTCGAAGATGGGCCCAGCAGAAATGCAATCGACGGTACGGTGTTCGGCTTCGTGGTGCCAGCCTGGATGAAGGCTATCAGCGGCCCACGGATCCATGCACATTTCCTGGACGCAAATGAGGAATTTGGAGGGAAAGTCGTAGATTTCACCATGGCAGAAGAAGCAGTGTTTAGTTTTGCGAAATGTGGGAGATTCCACTTGGGTTTTCCGCAGGGAGGAGAGTGGGAGGAAGTGAAGTTGTGATTGGAGAAGTGTGCTCGGGATTGGGCGACTATCATCGCATTGATCGCTTCATAGAATCGCCGCGATCGCCTCAACGTGGTGACACTACCAAGCACTTAGACACCATATAGCCACGCAGCTCCATCGACGTCGTCGTTCTTCTCCCTTGTTTCCTACGCGTCCTCACCATCGCTGCTTCAAGTGCAACGGCATTGACGAACATGTAACAAAGCTTTCTTCGACGACCTAAAAACCCTCGCCGTTATCGTCGGCTTCTCGCGTTGTCTTACATTCGTCGAATGATGCATCTTTTTCGGTGTTTGTACTGCTAGAATCAAGCCTATTGTCGATATAGATGGTTGCTAAATGTTTTGTGTCTAAGTTCCACTCAGGTACTCAGAGATGCTCCTGAGGGCGGGTTCGATCAGCGTATGAGTGATCGGTGTGATCTCAACCCACCAATTTGTCAAGTCCATCTCTTTGAGCCTCAAACCATCTGTTAACGAGTTCGCAGGCTCATGTGTAAATCAATACTTCTTTTTTTGTTAAAACTTGCACCCTTATAGTTATCGCTGATATTGTGTTGGTATGCAACGTTGGACAGATCCGCGTCAATGTCACGGCATCCGGTGCATCGATCGGTCTTCGTGTCGGGCGAAAGTTCCACCTTCTTGCGATAACAGCCCAGGATCCAGCACTTTTCATACGGGTTCATTAACAAAATTTCCAAAGAAGAAATGCTGCTGTTCATGGTAGATGATTGCATACGTGGTCATCACTCTACTCTAACAACCGCACAATATCCTCATGTCCCAATTTGCGAGCAAGATCCAAAGCCTTCAACCCCACCATGTTCCTGTACTCCTTGGCCGCGCCTTTCTCTAAGAGAAATGAGACTGCCTCGGTATGGTGGTTTTTAACGGCACAATGTAGCGCAGAGCCCCAACCTTCGTCCTCTAGTTGGCAAGGGATTATCTCGAGTCTTCCGTACGGGTGTGCATTGACATCGGCGCCTCGATCCAGCAGCTGCTGCATAATGTCAATGCTGCCTTCACGGGCAGCATTGAGGAGTGCCTTGGGCGCCTCTTCCAGCGATGCGTCATGTGCCAACAATAGCGCTGCCATATGCCTGTCATCTTTCGCACAGGCTATTTCGAGCGGGTTCTCGTTCGTCCGGGTGCTCTCGTCCACATGGGCGCCTTTTGACAATAGATGCGCAGCAATCTTTAGGCAAGCTGTATCGCCATCGGGATATCCTGGGCCTGTCTCCGCGCTACTGACGATGGATCTGTTTACCTGTCAGTTATTTCTGCGAGTCGAATGGTCTCCAGAAGGGTAGCAAAGGCTTACACAAGCGCGCTGCCAACATGCTCATAGGGCTCGTTGATATTCCAACCGTACGCCAGCGCCACATCGATGGCTTTCGTGTTCCATTCATTTTCCCGACGTGCCCCATCCAGAACATACCCTATAGTGCAATCAGTGCACCTAGCACCACGCTTGAAAAGCTCTTCGGCCATGTCGTACCGGGCCAGCTCTAATGCTTCGTTGAGGGCATCGCTCAATCCGTTACCCCGGCGCAAAGCATCAGGATCTTCAGCCTCGTGTTTCGACATCACATCATGTAGGGTAGCGAGGTCGTTGGACTCGATAGCGGCAAGCATTTGTGCATTGAAGTCATCTTCGTTGTTATCAGTAAACCCTGTCATTGCTTGAGTGATGTAGAAGATAAATTTTGAATGTGAATATCTTTTGCACTTGCGATTTGGAAAATGAATATTGCGGGCTTGGCAGGTGGGATTCAGCTGGAAAAATGGTAATGGGTTGGAGGGAAGAAGCCGAGGGCGGAAAGCCTTTCTAACATGCTGTCTCTTTAGTGTGGCGCAGTCAGGTCGTAGAAGGCGTAGCAACATCCATTTCAGCCCTTTGGGCGCCCTTTTACGCCCTCGCACGCATGACGTACCTTCGATTCCTAACTGCCTCCTTATTGCACCCCGAACCATCCGATTTCCACCGCTCACACGCTGGCTATCCATCATCACACTGTCGCCCTTGGCACCCCTTCGCTCTCTACAAGGCGTAGCATGCCTAGGTAGTCACAGCCCCAGCTAACCTGTCTAAATTCTGAAGTAAGGCCTTACCCTCATACATACAACGCCGTCGCGGGGTTTCTTTACTATGCAGGAACTAGCCAAGAATCACTTTTTACAGTCAAGGTCATTATTATCTCTTGGTACTGAGGCAACCTTGGAATAGTAAAGAAACCTAACATAAACGACGATGATGATTGCTATGCTGAGCACAACCAAAGCAATGCGAGACTTTTCGCCGCCTGGATAGGCACAGATCGTTCATCCCGTCTGCTCACCCAAACGGTAGCGATAGTGATAGAATCGTAATTTCATCATGGTGGTATTTCAGTAAGAGGCCGAAGGATGTAGACAACCTATAGATGATACACCAGAAGAAACGGAAGAGGAGTTGTATTGGACCAGGTTGGTGGTGATAGGAGGCTGAGCAGTAGCAGTCAACACGAGTCGGGTGGTGTCGAAGTACCTAGGTATCTTCTCTACCGGGACGGGCTCAGGCCGGGGGTAGGTATCTGATCGTTGATTGTACCTCCTTGTATGCCATACCTAGGTACTTTCGCGACTCAGCTGGTCCAATAATTGACACAGCTCGTGGAAGCGCTCAATGCAACGACAGTGGCTCTGATGTTTGTGATGGTTCAAACTATTGGTTTGGCTGATGGCGTTTCGTAGCTGCGGCGAGTCGTCCGGAGCTTTCCACTTTCGGATAGCTTCGCCCTATCTGTGGCGCTGCCAGGCTCAGGTGGTAACTCCAGCTGTACTACAACAACACAGCCTCGCTCCCTGCCATCGACTCTTTCGTCTCTCTCACTCCGTCTCGAGCTTCATCAACACTGTGCGAAACTTCCGATATGACGAGAAATCACCCCAGCCTTCGCAAGGCGGCTTCGAACGCGGACCTCTACGCGGATCCGTCACCGCCCCGCCCGCTGCGGCATTCGTACTCCACGACACTTGGACGCGCTCACACAACCGCATCGCTACCTCAACGTCATCGACAGGACCGAGTGACAGAGAGAGGATGGAGGAGCCGCGAAGCTGTTTCCGACTACCGTAACCGGCACAGTATCGCCGCGACGTATCCCAACCTCATCGATGTTGAAGACGAAGACTACGCGCCGCCTTCGAGCTACCAAAACCCTCCACCTGTACCACCGAAGATACTAGAGGTTCCAGTTGAGCAAGTCAAAGAGGACGTCGAGATGCCTAAGCCAACGCCCTCTCATTGTTGGATTCCGGTGCCTGCTCGCTCAAAGGAAGATCCGGCACGCTACACGAAGCCCTTCACCGACTACATGACGAGCAATCCTACAATCTTCCACGCTGTCGATGCTGTCGCACAGGACCTTGAGAAGGATGGCTACAAGAAGTTGTCTGAGCGCGATGCGTGGGAGCTGAAGGCTGGCGGCAAATACTACGTTGAGCGCAACGGGAGTTCGCTCATCGCCTTCGCTATTGGTGACAATTACGCGTCGGGCAATGGAGCTGCGATTCTTGCTGGACACATTGATGCGCTCACAGCGAAGTTGAAGCCCATCTCGAACCTTCGCACCAAATCAGGCTACGTACAGCTCGGTGTGGCCCCATACGCCGGTGCACTGAGCGACACATGGTGGGACCGCGACCTTGGTGTCGGTGGACGGGTACTCGTCAAGGAGAATGGGAAGATAGTCACGAAGCTTGTCAAGCTGGACTGGCCTATTGCAAGGATTCCAACACTAGCACCTCATTTTGGTGCTGCCGCCAACGGGCCGTTCAACAAAGAGACGCAAATGGTCCCTATAATCGGTCTGGACAACAGCGATATTGGAAGTTCGTCGGAACATGGTGAGGAGAACTGGAAAGCCAGTGTGTTGGGCGGAGAGGGCGCATTCGCTGCTACTCAGCCGGAGAGGCTTGTGAAAGCCATCTCAAGCGAACTCGGCATCACGGACTGTATGTGCACTACACCCTCACGTCCATGAAGATACTAACTTGTAACAGATTCGACCATTGTCAATTGGGAGCTTGAGCTCTTCGATACGCAACCCGCCCAGACCGGTGGCCTCGACCGCGAGTTCATCTTCGCTGGCCGGATCGACGACAAACTCTGCTCTTGGGCTGCGATTCAAGCTCTCCTCAACTCGAGCTCATCCCTCTCAACCTCGTCCCAGATCCGCATGGTCGCCCTCTTCGACGACGAAGAAGTCGGCTCGCTACTCCGACAAGGTGCTCATGGCAACTTCCTCCCCAGTGTCATGGAGCGCATCGTCGAAGAGTTTGTGTCCAACGGAAAGACCGGCAGCGCTTTGAGCAGAACATATGCAAACTCTTTCCTCGTCTCCAGCGACGTGATTCACGCGGTGAATCCCAACTTCCTCAACGCGTATCTCGAGAACCACTCTCCGCGTCTCAATATTGGTCCTGCTGTCTCTGCGGACTCAAATGCCCATATGACGACTGACGCTGTCTCCACCGCTATTCTGCAGCGCTGTGTTGATCGCGATGTCGGTATGCGCAAGGTCGACCCTAAGCTTCAGGTATTTCAAATTCGAAATGATAGCAGGAGTGGAGGCACCGTTGGACCAATGCTGAGTTCTGCAACGGGTATCAGGTCCATTGATTGCGGCATTCCGCAGCTGAGTATGCATTCTATCAGGGCAACGACGGGAAGTTTGGATCCTGGTCTGGGTGTCTTTACTTTCCAGAGTTTCTTGGAGAACTTTGAGAGTGTTGACAAGGAGTTCAGGGCATAGAGTGTCGTTGGAGTTGGATATATTCTCGAGTACAGAATCACAACTGGTTTTCACGTCTTACAATACAAATCAGTGACCACATGTCTAAATGGTTGAACCAGAACGTCATTCATTGAACAGACTACGAATTGAAGTATTCTAAGTACTCCGCGGCCTTGACCATAGCGCCGGAAATCCGAAAACTCCACCTTGATGCCGCCAAAATCAATTCGTGCAACGCCGCTGGGCGAGCTTCGTACATACTCTCGGGATCGACCTTGGCCACCGCTGCAGTACCCATAGCACAGAAACATACGTCTACTAAGCATTGGGCCGTGTCGGCATTTCCTCATCTTCGTCATCTTCTGGGTGACCAAGCAGGTCCTTGACGTTCTTCATTTCATAGTGCTTCTTGCGCAACTCCTCAAACTTGCGGTGCTTCTCCCTCTCTTCCTGGGTGGCGTTGGGGAGGAGCTCGCCGTGGTAGCCTTCATCTGTATCCATGCCCTCTTCCACCATGACCCTCTTCTCGCTCTCGGGTGTCTGCGACTGTCGTGCCTGCAGCTCCGGCTGTCCCAAGTCGAACTCGGGTATATCTTCAATCTTAGGTTTCCGCTTTGGCTTGTCCAGCTCGTCCACCTTGAGCTCTTCGGCGTTGAGCATTTCGACCTCCTCTTCGTCCTCGGCGGGATCGTACTGCTTGGCGTATGGTGTCTTGGGCTCATCGATCTTCATGGTGCTGTCGCGGTTCTGCTCATTCAGGTAAAGGTTGGCCTCGTCCCACTTGAGCTGCGGGCTTGTCTCGTCCGCGGGGTCAATGCCCGACTGCCGTCGTGAACCGATGCCGCGTGGGTTCGACGAGGATCTTCGGTGAGCGCCAGCATTGCGCAGCGTGTTTTCCAATACAATTTCCTTCTCTGACAATTCGCGACCCAGCTGCGGCCGCTCGGATATGGGGCTTACGGCCGGTGGAAGCTCGCTAGTGGGGGACGTTTGGGAGTCGGCGCGGTACGAGCTAGAGTTTTTGAGGATACCTGGCCTTGTTAGCCATGCGTGCACCAGGCGGCGGGGTATGGGAGAGTCCCACCCTTAGGTCGCTCAGGATGCGAGCTCGGCGAATGCAGTTCGGGGGATTGTCCAGTCATGTTGGGTGATATGGGAGGGACTTTGCGACAGTAGCCGTGGGTGTGAGAGGCTGAGATGCGGGAGGAGCTGGCTTTGTATGGTGGTGGGCGACAGATGAGGCGACGGCGTTAGTTTAGGACGGCTAGAAAGCAATGCGCGTGGTGGGGTGCGTTGTCCTGTGAACGGCGGAAGTATGACGTAGGCCCCAGCACAATCCCACCCCGCACGCGTTCTGATTCACATGCAGGTGCGGCCTGTAACCCCGGTCATTGTAGCAGATGCAGAGGTTGCCGCGGTTATTAAGACGTCTCGATGCATCGAGGAAATGTCCACCCATTGTGGTCAGTGTGGACAACCTGGTCGCAAGCCGCCTGTGGTCAAAGCACGCATGAGAAAATCATCTGTATTATTCTGATATTGCTTTCACTCCGGAACAAGTCCGCCATCTTGATGCTTTCCTCATTCTGTATCGAAGGACAAGCGGCTCTACGGCACCTAGCGTCTACGAGAGGTAACTGTCAAGCGATGCAGCCAATGTCCGCCAAGACTCTTCAGCGTGTTCTAATGTTAGAGCTTTCTTAAACCGCGACGCGCCTGACGCTACTCGCACCGGAAAACATCCATGGCGGCGAGATGTCAGGTACTGAGATACACGGTGAGACCACAAAGGAACCAGTGCCCAACCTTAGCGGCTATTCAGAGCCAATTCACCGCCTGAGCAGCGCTATATAGTACTGCTTAGTCGTCAATTAGCGGAGATTCCAGAGGTACCTGATACAC